GTATTGGACTTGATACCAGCCAGAATACCGGGGGGTGGGAACTTGAATTGAACGATGCTAGCCGAGAGGGTGTAGTAACTCTTGGCCTCGGGCTTGACCTTGACGAAACTGTCTACTGTTAGTGTGATGTATACATCAACGACACGGAGTACTTACTCAGCCAAGTTACCCTTGTAGCAGACCAGCTTCTTCTGTTCGTAGTGGTAGATATCCGTGCAGACTTCATCGAGGAAGCCGGAGTCGTGAGAGACGATCAAACTGGTGATATCAGTGTGCTTCTTCAGGTACTCCTGGAGCCACTTGACGTTGGCCACATCCAAGTGGTTAGTAGGTTCGTCCAGCAGGAGGACATCGGCCTTGCGCAGCATGGCACGAGCCAGAGCGAGCTTCATCTTCCAACCTCCAGACAGGGAGCCCACACGCTGGTTCTGACGGCCCTCAGGACCGTCCGTGAAGCCGAACTCGAGCAACACGCTACGGATGTGCTCCTCGCCTTCAGCGGCAATCATGGGATCCTTGGAGACGTACTCGAAGATGCTCAGATCGGCATCCTCGCCCTGGTTGTGCTCGACGAAGCAGGTACGAACCTCGCTCTGCGGGGGGAAGCCCTCCAGCTTCTCGTTGGCGATACTGCGCATGAGCGTCGATTTACCAGCACCGTTGCGACCGCACAGACCGTAGCGGTGACCCTTCAGCAGACGAAGGTTGGTGTGGGACAGCAGAAGCATACCACCGTAGGCCAGAGAGAAGTTGGCGTTGACGATCTCGACCTCGTTGGGGTCGTCGGGGATGGGCTTGCCGAACTTGCGGTGGTCCTCTTCGACGAAGTGCTCCTGGACGGCGGCGGCGACAGCGTCGTGCTTGTCCTCGTGCAGCAGACCGCGCAGGTACGGGGCAATGCAGGCGGGAATACGGTCGTGCATGCGGCAGTTGACATCCTCGCGAACCATCTCGGCGACATAGTTCTTACCCAGAGCAAACAAGGTGGCGTCCTCAGGGCGGGCCAGGCCGCCGTGCTCCTGGATCTTGGCCTCCAGCACGGCCAGGACTTCCTCCGGGGTGATCTTCACAACCACACCAGCAGCAACATCCTTATCGGCCATAGCCTTCTCGATGACATCCAAAGCACGAGTGGCGAGCTCACGAACTTCGGGCAGGGAGGCACGGTCCTTGACGCGCTGGACACCGGGCTTCAGCTTGGGCAGGAAAGTACGAGCCTCAGCGGGGTCGTGGACAAGCTTGGTGAGGTTCTCCACGACGACGACAGTCTGACGCAGGGTCTCCTGGGGAGTCGTGGGGGCGTTAAGAGAACGCTCGAGCAGAGGCGTGAGCAGAGCGAGGACGGGGGAGGTGACGATAGCGACGAAGGTAGTCTGGGACAGGGCGTGGATGGCCTTCTGCAAGGTCTGCTCGGATGGCTGCTCCATGGTCTTGATCAAAAGGGGAATGCGGGGAGCCACGTCGTCGTTGGACAGAAGAGTAGTGAGAGCATTCATAGCCTTGATGGCCTTCTTAGCGACCTCGTTCTTCAGGTCGTGCATGCCGGATTCGACCAACGGGATCAGATCCTTCAGGGTCTTGCCCATGGCCTCGCGCAAAAGGTCCTTCTCGCGCTCCTCGTCCAGGGATCCAGTGCCCATTTGCGACTTGGTAGCCATCTTCTCGATGAGGCTGTAGGCACCGACGAAACCCTGCCATTTGGCTGTGTTCTGGTTGAGATAGGCGGAGAGGGCGGGAAGAAGGGCGTTGACCAAAGCCTCGGGCTTGAGGCAGGCAAACAGCGCATCGATAGCGTACTGAGCAGCATCGCGCACGACAGCACCCTTGTCGGCCAGCAGATCGAGGGCCAGGTTCAGGACACCGCCGTCCTGCAGAAGGAAGACGACTTCGCTCAGAGGGTGTTCGCGGGGGAATCGCTCAAAGAGGGCGCCCAAAATGAGCATGGAACTTTCGCGGAGGGCGCCATTCTTCTTGTCGGTAGCAGCCTTCTTGATCGGGGGCAGGATGTTGTATGTACGGAAACCGGAGCAGCCGACACTCTGGATCAACAGGTTGGTGAGGGCGTAGGAGGCATCGAGCGCCTGCTGAGAGGTCTCAGCCTGAAAGATGGTGTTCAGGATGGAGTTGACCTCATCCGCAGTGGGAGGAACGCCGGAGGGGGTCTTGGAAACGACGGTAGTCATGGCTGGAGTGGGATCTTCAGGATGAGGCATGATATCGTAGGATCTGTGGGTTTGGGGGTTCTGGGCCTCTCACACCGGCCGGGGCGGCGGGCAGGCTGAGAAAAAAAAAAGCGGAAAAGAAAAGGACGAAAAAAAGAAAAGAGACCAAAACTTTTAGTGGGCAATCCTCGGCGAGGATGCGTATAAACAGAGAAACAGAACGGGGTATACAACAAGGAGAAGAAGAAACAAAGAGGGGAGATTTGGGGGAGAGAGGAGAGGAGAGGCGAGGGAAGTTGAAAGGCGAGCGCAAAGAGGAAAAACAAGATGGAGGCGGGGCCGATAACGAGCCTGAGGATTTTTAGGCGGCGGCCCATTGGATCGGGCGGCGATGAAATCTCTGCCTGAGGCGAGGGGCTGACAGCCTATCATCCAGGCACGCGTGGCTGAGCTGTGGCGGTGTTGATCCCTTTATAGCCTGATGAATAAGGTGTCATTTCCCCATCATTATTGCCTGAAACCCCAGGTGTCGTTCAAAGTCAGTTTCTGCCTGAATTCTTGTAACTAATGCCTCAGGCTGCCATAACGCCGCCGTTGCCCGATTGGGCTTACCCCGCACGGGGGCTCCACTCGGCGGACCAAAAATGGAGTCTCGCATCCACTGAGTTGCAACTTGCAATTGGGAGGATCAGCTTCCCCTTCTTCCCTTTGCTTGTCCCGAACATCCATCGTCCCATTCCCATGGCCTTGTGAAGGGAATGCATGGGACAAACTCACTTTCCTGCTCTCTCGGTTGGATCTCCCTCTGCCCCGATGTCGCCTCACCGCAGTCTACGATCGACCCCTCACAGAGGTCCCTCCGAGGCACGGCGACACGGGATCTGCAGCCAAATGGATCTAATTACACCATGATGATAACTAAAGAGGCAGCGCGCGCTCTACTGCACACTACCGATTTAGTCCGACAGCCGGCTCGGTCTCGCATCGGCGGTGAGGATGTGCAACAATTGAGGGTGGATTGACGCAGACTGCTTATTGCTGATTGTGTTGACCATCCGCATGCAGCCGTTCCTTGCCTCGGCTCCTCAACACCGCGGCCAACCGACGGCCACTCGCCCTCCTCCCCGGTGAATTTCTCCTGACTCTGCTTTGTACTCTGCTCTGTGGACATAATCTCTTCTCTCTCTCGTCTTTGCTTGCACATTCACCCTTCTAGAACTCTCATCATGTCTTTCTCCCTGCCGATACGTCCAACAACCCGCCATGCCAGCCGGCTGGTACAGGTACGCCCCTCCCCCTTGATAGCTTGCCTATCATTGCTGACAACCCCAGGCCAGGATCCGCTCCGGTCGGTTCTACAGCACCGAATCAGACCTTAAAACCGCCCTGAAATCCGTCATTCCCGAGAAGCGCGAGCTATTCAAGCAAGTCAAGGCCCGCAGCGACGATGTGGTCGGCGAAGTCAAGGTGGGCAACATCATTGGCGGCATGCGCGGCCTGAAGTCCATGCTCTGGGAGGGATCCGTTCTCGACCCCGAGGAGGGTATCCGTTTCCACGGCAAGACCATCAAGGATTGCCAGCGTGAACTGCCCAAGGGGACCACGGGAACTGAAATGCTCCCGGAGGCCATGTTCTGGCTGCTCCTGACCGGCCAGGTTCCCACCACTAGCCAGGTGCGCGCATTTTCTCGCGAGCTTGCCGAGAAATCACATCTCCCCGACCACATCCTGGGCCTGATCAAGTCATTCCCCAAGGACATGCACCCAATGACGCAGCTGTCGGTGGCGGTTGCAGCACTGAACACGGAGTCGACCTTCGCCAAGGCGTACGAGCGCGGCCTGAACAAGGCAGACTACTGGGAGCCCACATTCGACGACAGCATTTCCCTGCTGGCTAAGATTCCACGTGTGGCTGCATTGGTGTTCAGACCGAACGAGATCGACCAGGTCGGGACACAGGCTCTCGACGCGACACAGGACTGGTCGCACAACTTTGCTGAACTTCTGGGCAAGGGCGGAGCCGAGCATAGCGACTTCCACGACCTGCTGCGATTGTACCTGGCGCTGCACGGCGACCACGAGGGCGGCAACGTCTCGGCGCACGCGACGCATCTGGTGGGCAGTGCCCTCAGCGACCCGTTCCTCAGCTACAGCGCAGGACTGCTTGGTCTGGCCGGCCCGCTGCACGGACTGGCGGCGCAGGAGGTGCTGCGGTGGATTCTGGCGATGCAGGAGAAGATTGGCACTCAGGTGACGGACGAGTCGGTGCGCACGTACCTCTGGGACACGTTGAAGTCGGGACGGGTGGTGCCAGGCTACGGACACGGCGTGCTGCGCAAGCCGGACCCGCGATTCGAGGCATTGATGGACTTTGCGGCGACACGGGCAGACGTGCAGGCGAACCCGGTGTTCCAACTGGTGAAGAAGAACTCGGAGATTGCGCCAGAGGTGCTGACGCAGCATGGCAAGGTATGTATCTGTCCACCACTTTTTCAGTATCAGACTAACACATCATAGACGAAGAACCCTCACCCCAACGTGGACGCCGCCTCTGGCGTGCTGTTCTACCACTATGGCTTCCAGCAGCCGCTGTACTACACGGTAACCTTCGGTGTGAGTCGGGCCCTGGGACCCTTGGTGCAGTTGATCTGGGACCGGGCCTTGGGACTGCCGATCGAGCGACCGAAGAGTATCAACCTGAAGGGACTGGTTGGCAAGTGAGTTGGTATATTGACTGTTGTATCTAGCCTGAAGTAAGCAAGCATCATTTAGAAGTCATATCTCGTTATACCCATATTACTCCATTATCACCTAGAGAAAGAGAGAGAGAGAGAGAGATCACTCCCTCTCAACCCTAACCTCCATAATCTTCTGAATCCTCCACCCATTCCCATTGCCATTCCCATTGCCATTACCACTCACCCCAGCACTCCCCGTAACCATACTACTCGAACTCCCACCCCCAACCGCACTCACCCCAAACCCTCCCCCAACCCCAGCCTCCATCATATCCTCATCAACACAACCACCATTCCCAAACCCTCCCTCCCTCACCCTCGCCACAGCCGGCAAACTACAAATCGTCGTCGTCGTCGGCGCCACCCCGCTCCCATCCCACACCCCTCCATACCCACCACTCGGACTACAACTCCTCCCTCTCCCACCACCACAACTACTCCGACTCCGACTCCTACTCCTGACCGACCGTCCCTCCTCACTCCCACTCGTCCCAAACAACATCCCACTCTCCAGCCCCAACTCCAATCCACCCATGCCCAACCCCCGAGCAACCTCATCCAAACTCGCATCCACAAGATCACGACTCTTCTTCCGACCCCCATTGTTGGTGACTATCGAACTAGCAGTGGTATTCCGCGTCTGCGTCTTTCGCAACGGATACGACGTACTCGTGGTCGTCGTCGGCGACGTCAAATACGTCAGCGTAGCGTAGGTATTATGCGGGTTATTGTACGTGTTGTTTGTCGTATGTGTGCGGTTGTTGTTGTAGCTGGATGATAGGGTGGATGCGAAGGCGTGGAAGAACGGGCCGTAGGTTGGGATGCAGGTTATTATTACCTTCACAACAGAAGTATTATTAGTATGGATTGAGTTAAGTAGGGGTAAAGGTAAGAAGGAGGGAATTGGATGGGGACATACGCCCAAACTGATTTCCACATCCGACCAGATGACGATGGGTTGACTGTCTGTGTAGGTTTTTAGGTTCTTGATTGTGAAGATCCGGATTATTTGGATTATTGTTATAAAGAAGCCGAGGGCGAAGACGCCGACGAGGGCTATCTATATATTTCTTGTTAGAATGGGTTTGGTGTGGGGGGAAGGGTGGTGTAGGGATGGGGTAGGGTAGGGTAGGGTACCTTTTGTCGAAGCCGCAGTTGGAGAGTGAGGAGGACGGGGAGGGGCAGGGCGATTATGATTATGTCGAAGCCGAGACTAGTTCCTGTTTTTCTTAGCTTTATTTCTGGTGTACATAGTGGGTGGACGGGGTGGCGGTGGTGGTTACCTGCGAGAGCTGGTTCATCGTTAGTACAATATGTATAAATCGGGTATATGGGAGGGCATACCATAATAAGACGCTACCGTATCTATGCATGATCCAGGGAGACTTGTATCCCATTGACGAGCAACCTACACAAACCCACATACATTAGCATATATACTCATATCTGATAGAAGGGAATGGGGAAGATACCGGATTACAAGCAAACAACAGCAAGAAAGTAAACACCAACTGATTGCAGGTCACCGCCACAATAGCCACGATGATCGTCACGCGGTACGCCTGCACGAAGCCCCCAATGCGCAGGTACGATGACAGCAGGGAGACTTTGAATCCGAGTAATGCAAGGGTGTAGACGGGGCCACCGGCGTATTGGATCTACATACATCATTAGCCATTTATTCAGATTGTTGATGTAAGTTAGGATGGGGATGTATGTACCTTGCTAAACATGACCACGTTCTGATCAGGGAAGTACTTCGCATCTAGACCTAGACCCCATCTTGTTTCTAGCACAGACTATATCAGTATGTGTAATATATCAACATGGTGAAGAGAAGAAAGGGATGTCTCACGCGCAACAGCAATCCCAGCATACGTCATCGCCAGTAAGGCACTCCATAGCGCCGCGAAATCATCCAACCAGGCGGACCTCTTCGTATGAATGCGAATATACAATCTCAAGAAGACCGCCAAACAAGCCGTAATCGAGAAAACGAGACAGATGGCAATGACGCGAGAGACATGACTGTGGGGATCAGGGACGGTCAGATTGTAGACCCAGCCCATTTCGGCATGTTGAAGTCAATCATCAATTATCCATCTAAAGAACAACCCAAAGAAATCAGCTTCAGAATCGAGGGGGCGGAGCTGAGCGATGGGGTTTGTTAATATATGATGAATACGCAAATGCAAGAAGTACATTCTCTCCCACCCCTGCAGAAAAGAAAGAAGGGAAAAGAAAAAAAAAAAAAAAAAAAAAAAAGAGGATAGGTAAGAAGAAAAAGTGTTTACCGCTATGTCACTAAGTACCCTACCTAACCTAACCTACTTACCTCCCCAATCTCCTGAAATTTATTATGCAAATAAGGAATTAGGAATCTTTGATGGATGATGTGTCGACCCAGACCTGATCTGAACTCAATCTACGGTCTACGGCCGCACCCGGACCAGAACAGAACAGGACACAACCGGGAGTGGAGGTCTGGTTCGTGTGCAGAGGCTAATGAGAGTTTAGTACTATTTTTCATTTCTTTTTCTTCTGCATAATGCTAGAGCCTGACGCTGGCTCGTGATGAGATACGCATGTGCCTGCATGGAGGAGGTGCACGAGGAAGGGGGGAATAATGATAGGTGGGAAAGGTCAAGTCTCGGTCAATGCGCGGGTTCCACTTTATGCAGACTAATTAGGGCACGGATCATGTCCACTAACTACCAAGGAGATAGACAGCTAAGTAAAACTAGTGTAGAGAACAAAAGCAATGTGCACAGAAAGAAAGAAAAAACAAGGACAAGGGTTTTATTATTATTGATTAGTTCATATCTCATCTCACCGAATAATGCCATGCTGTCACCACAACATCCATATTCATAATCCATCATAACACTAAACAAGGTTTAAACCTTCAAAAGCTATCATCCACGGTACCGCATCTTTGGTGATTTCATATCCCGATCGCGTCGGGGATAAACACACGAATCATACTCACCGGAAAAGAATTCAGTGTGAGCTTTTGGATAACTAACTAGAAGGACTTTCGGGGTTTCTGCTCTCTCTGTGTGTGTAGGGTAGGAATTAGTCGGTGTAGCCGGAAGTAAGAAGTAGGAAGTAAACTAGCAGGGGAGGCCCTTGTCTAGTGGACATTATTTTAGTTGGGGGAGTGTCGATCCTCATCTAACACCGGAGGAACCATGGCATCCATCCATCTATCTATCTGCCTTGGGCGGTTATGTGTGTGTGTGTCAAGGACCTGAGCATGTATGCATGGCTGGCATGTTCATGTTCATGTTCTGTTCATGTGGATGTGGACGTAACCGATTTTCTCCTCTTCAACTTTCTTTCTTTCTTTCTTCGTACTTTGTACACAGCATCACCATCATACCCTCAAAACAGTAAACTGATTAGGTTTATTCAGCCATGATAATCCGATCCAACAATGATTATTATGCCAATTATTGCCATTTCTTTCTTTCTTTTCTTCTGCTATTCCTTCCTGCACAAGTGAGGCGCACAGTACTAACTCACTTCTTGACTAGGACACCCCGGCTATAACCCACACTATTATAGCACTATTAATTATTCCCGCAGCATCACCACCAATCTCCTCCCCATCCGTGCATGCATATCTCATTTCCACCACCAGCAGAGTGTACTCCGTACGGACCACAGCTTACAGCATACAGCATACAGTAAAAAGTAAAATACCCGACAATCCGACACCCGACCCGATCAAGTCCGCAAACCTGGCAGCCACCTACTAATCCTCCCAGATTTAACACAGTAATAAAAATAAAATAAGATTAGGTAGGTCCCCGAGTAGTACTTACTTTATAGGTAGTGGGTAAGTATGGTGCACGGGCAAGTTACCCAGCCACTCATGAGGAGGACGTGTATAAAGATCTAACTAAGTATGTATGTACTTATGAACAATATGCCCAAACAGAGTAAAATAAATAAACATCATAAAGTATTAAATAAAAAAATATATATATATAAATTATATAATGCATTTAGAAATACTCCCAACCATCCGTATCATCATCAGAAGTTGAAACCCGACATAACCTCCCATCAGGATACATCGTCCACTCATCCGAACCCACAGCCGTTTGGGCATAAAACACATCCAGCGGGTCATATTTCTTCTTGATCTGTCGTAGGCGGGGATAATTCACTCCGTAGAATGCTTTTTGGAAGTTGGGTTGGCGGAAGTCGCCCTATTTATCCATCACTGTCAGTCTTCTCTTCACATTTACAATAAATAAATAGAGGTGGAAGAGTGAAAGTAGCAAGGGAATTACCTCATTCATATAAGCCCCCGAATCCGGCGCCAACCGTTCCAACAACGGCAAATACTCATAAGTCATTTTATACTGCTGCACCAGCATATCCTGGCGCGCATCCCAATGCCATGGCGTCGTAAGCGTCGTATCAATTAGCGTATCCCGCCAAGCAGGCAACACCGCATTATCCACATCCCCAACCAACGCCTTCGACACATTCAGTCCCACCCCGATAAATGTCGCCCCGTCCTCCGTGATCTGGCGATACGCGGCCGTCAACGCGGTGTTATTCTCATGCACCACTGATCGCGGGATCAGCCATCCGCCGTATTGCGCTTCCCCGACAGGGATGTTGGGCATCATGCCGTTGAATTCAGCCAGGTAGGTCGGAAATTGCTCTGCGTAGAGGGTGTATCTGATGCCCATTTTCTCTAACCCATCGCGGAAGGGCTTGAGGAAGGAGATGAGTTCCTGGACGGGGATGTTGGGCCCCGTTATTGGCGCGATGTAGAAGGTCGTGTTGGTGAAGTACCAGATGCTCATTGCGCCGGCATCGACAATAGCCGGGAGGAGGGAGTGGTAGAGGCCCACTGCTGAGTAAAAGGTGTCCTGGGAGATATTGGTATTGGTGAAAGTGAGGTTTAGTCCGGAGACGGGCGTGCCAGTATGTAGCTTGGAGGTCATGGACCAGACGACGCCGTAAGTGCCGCCGCCGCCACCGCTCAAGGCCCAATACAGGTCCTTGTATTCGTTGTCGCGGGTAGCGGTGATGAAGCGTCCTGTGCCGTCAATGACCTCCCATTTCAGCACTTGGTCCGCGGCGAGGCCGTAGCGCGAGGACAGGGCCGAGTGGCCGCCGCCTTGGGAGTAGCCGCCTGCGATGCCGACGGTCGGACACTCGCCGCTGACGACCTGGTAGCCGTGGGCGTCGGCGGCCTCCCAGGCCTCGTATCCCTGGACGCCGGCGCCCAGACGGATGGCCTTGCCGGAGTAGTGGGAATCGTGATGGTCGACGATGTCGATGTCCTTGAGGTGATGGGTCCAGATGCCGAGGGCGCCAGCGCCAGTGGATTTGCCGTTATAGTCGTGACCGGTGTTGCGGACGACGACGCGGAGGTTGTGGGCGGTTGCGAAAGCCAGAGCGCGTGATATGTGGCCGGGCTGACTGACGTTCACGGCATAGACGATGTAATTTCCCAGGGTGCAGGGCTTGGCGATGGGGTGGAAGGGATCGCACGAGCCGTTGGCGAACCAGGGGGCCATAATGGAAGAGGACGATTCATAGCTTGACTCGGTTAGCGGATGTGCTTGCTTTTGTGAGGACGAGGCTGCGAGTCAGCCTGACCCAAGACGAAAAAAGCTTACTGGATTTCGGGCTCCGTCCATTGTTCGCGAAGGTAGTCGCACACCCCTGCTTGGTAGGAGGGCGTGTGGCAGGGCTTGCCGAGAGGGATGGTCTGGATTAGTCGGCCGCCAATGGATTCGTTGAATTGAGTCCATTCGGCTAGTGAGGGCCAGCATTTCTCCCCCGGGAAGCAGCGGCAGGTGGTGTTGGAGGACTGGATGGTCACGGCTGCATTCCCTACGGCCGACAGCAGGGCCACGAGGCTGGCTAGGAGCAGGACAAGGCCCGAGAACATGACGGATAGGTGCAGATGGAGGAAATCCGAGATGGGGATGACAGGAATGCCAGCGGGTTTATAAGAGGAGCCGTGCCCTGTGGTGGAGTGGCAGCCATCGCGTGGCAGGAAGAACCGAAGAAGAATGACCGACGCGCTAATCCAGGGGAAATTACCGAGCAGTGAGCAGCAGCAGTTGCGGAGAATGTTCCATGGTGGAAGTTGTTCTTAGATGCCATGCAAGTGGAGCACTGGGGTGGAGGTGACAATCAGACAGGCAGACAAGAATACCCACTAAGTGACTTAGCGGATACTCCAAGAGGGTCTGTCTGTCTGTCTCTCATGGATGAAGCCATCAGCATGCACCAGGCAGAAAAGGCTTAGGGCTTGACTATCGCGTGGTGTTTCGTCAGTCTTTGCCACTAGAGAATTACTTGACTAGTTAGTTCGCAGACTCAAACCAAGCCATCCTGATTCAGGATCCATCCGACCTGCAGCTTAAGCTCCTCCCCAGCGCATGCGTGGTTTTTTTTCTACTTGATCTTCTGTTCCCCTCTCCTTGTGCATCCGATCATCCCGTGCAATGCTTAGCGGGCCTCGTGTCGTGGTCGCTAGCGGTCAAGAGAATGGAATAGTCCTGATGCTGACAGACAATTTAATTACCTAGTCAGTGATAGTCTAGAACCGAAGCGGGCGCTGGTCCAGCGGTGACTGACGGATGGGCCGGCGGACGTTCCCTCCGGACAAATCAGGGCAAGATGTGCTGATCTGCAAGGGATGATGCATTGGGCATCCCGTGGTGCGATCGCTGTCTTCTGCTGCCATGGTCGGGAACAGTACGGAATACTCTGGTTGTACGGAGTACTTGGTAGATATCTCTGGTATCATCTGTTGGTTGACTTAGGGTTGCTATCTGACCAGTCTTCTGCACGAGTCAGTCCCCGGATCGCGATCGTACCAAAACATGAATAAGACGTCCAAAATGGCTTTAATGGATTAGCATGGTCATGAATCATCATATATACGCTTCTGCCTACTATTTACAACTTCGCCTCACCCCCCGCGAGACGCTGCCAATCTTTCTCACCAAACTCTATGTAGCCCTCCGACCCCGGAGGCAACCAAAACAGCCGGTCGCGGTGGCCCTGCACCACCTTCGACCCTAACTTGGCTGGCTCCACGCCCTCCTGGCGCAGCGGCCCCTTGTTCTGCTTATGGTTATGAATATGCCATGACTGTTCCACGACGCGCAAGAAGACCGGCACCGCATACCGCGGCAGGTGTGCACGCGCGAACCGGGCCAGTCCCTGCCCGTCAAACCCGCTGCGGGCCTCGGGACTGAGCAATAAGGCCGCACATCCTGCACGGCCTTCATGATGAGGCACTTTCACTCCATACACATTGGCTTCCTGGATGCCAGGATACCGGCCCAGTACTTGGGCTACTTCTGCCGTGGACCTGCATAATGAACCATTAGCCAACACCAACCACGATGACAAATAAGCACAAAGCAAGGGATAGTAAGAATAGACATACACATTCTCACTCTTCCACCGGAACGTATCCCCCAGCCGATCGAGGAAATACCACCTCCCATCCCCATCCCGCCTCAACGCATCCCCAGACCGATACCACAAATCCCCTTTCGCCAGCACATCCCGCATGAACTTTTTCTTCGTCGCTGCTTCGTTCCTCCAATACCCCTGAAACGCCTTCTCATCTGGCACCTTGACCAGTATCTCCCCGCCCTCATCATACGGCGCCCGCTTCACCAGCCCCGTCTTCTCATCACGCACCGCATCCCCCGTCTCTGCATCCACCACGACAGGAACATATGTATTCCTCAAACTTGCCCGCAATAACAACCCATGATGCCCGACAGCCGCCGCCGTGAACGGCCCGCGATTGAGGTTAAACAGCCCGAAGACCCCCTCCGTGCTGTTAAAGAACTCCCCGACCTCCGCCACCCCGAACCGCTCCCGGAACCGCTCCCAGACGTCCGGCCGCAGACCGTTCCCGTACATCATGCGCACCCCGTGCTCCCGGTCTTGGGGTGATGGCGGTGCGGCCAGTAGATAACGGACTACTTCGCCGACATACACGAAGACCGTGGCCTGAGAGGCCCGGACATCGGGCCAGAAATTGCGCACACTGAATCGCGGCGCGATGGCGATGCTTCGTCCGCCAACTATGTTGTTGATCATGGCGATCGCTGACGTCCCGTGGTACAGCGGCATCGCGCTGTACCACCTGTCCCCGCCGGGGCCGGACACGTTGGTTATGTTACTGTTGCGGATGGCCTGAGTGGCATAGAGCCGGGAGGTGGTGAAGGCGCAGCCTTTGGGCAGACCGGTCGTGCCGGAGGTGTAGAGGAGGATGGCGGGAAATTCGCCAGGGACGTGGGAGGCCAACTGACCGTTCATTGGCACAGACGCCGGAAACGAAAGCAAATAGTTATTAAATACATCGTCAACAGTGACGAGCTGCATACCCAGCTCATTCTCGATCGTCGATCTTCGCTCCTCGATGCGAGCCATACATTCAGGCTCCGGGTCAACCAGCAGCAGCTTGGCGCCACTGATGGATAGGCAATGCATCAGCGCATCGCCAGTCAGGTTGTAGTTGATGGTTGCCGGGGCACACCCGATGCTTAAGAGCCCTAACCAGGCGAACATAAATTCCGCCCGGTTCTGCAGATAGAACGCTACCAGGTCGCCCTTTTGCACCCCCTTCGACAGGTAGAAGTGGCCGTACCGGGCTGCGGCGGCTAGGGCTTCCCGGTATGTGTAGGACTGTTCGCGTGTCCAAATACAGACCATGTCGGGGTACTGCGATGCCGTGGCGGCGAAGACGGGCCACATGCTCAGTTGCCCTTGTGCGGCGGCTTTCGCTGTGTCGCGGAGGGAGCGCCGCTGGGCCAGCATGCTGGATGCATCGTTGGTGAGGTGGAATTTGGCATCTAGGTAGGCGGCTAGAGCGATGGCTGCGACTCCTGTTGATGTTGCTGCGCGGTGATGCCATTGATGTTAGTGCTGTGCTACATGACGTACATAGTCTATAGGTGAAGGGTGTAAGGGGTGATCACCTAACGCCATGGTCAGGCCGGTTGCCAACTTGAAATATGTCGCTAAAAATGTTGTGAGAGGAATAACTGTATATGCTATGGAGATAGATTAATTGTCAAGATATGAGGGGAAGACGTGGAGTAGATAGATTTCATTGCCGACCACATCCTCGGTCCAGGCTATGTGTGTCTCTCTCCGCATCCGGATAATATGCAGGAGGCGCTGCGGAGCAAATCACGGTTGTCCCAAGGGCTCAAGCGGCGGGGGGTGCGGCCAGTTCCTCCTCTCTCTCGTTCTCAACCTCGGGTCAAACAGCTGGCCTTCAGATTGCTTTTTTGGGGGGAAGGGAGGAATGTTTGGAACAGAGTGGGTCGCGAAGCTTCTTCAGGATCCATAATTCTGGAGGTTCAACGTTGCGGTTCCCACCAGGTCTGGCAGTGACCCAGTGTTTTGCCCCAACGGATCGGTTACTTTGTTTTATCTCCTATGGAACACGTACGATGCTGTTCCCAGCTGTCTAGCTGTCTACTCTGCTACCATGGCATTGTGCATTATCTTGTGGCTAGGTGGGGCGTAGATCGGAGGAAATAGTGGTGACAAATCATCAAGGGACCCCCTTTTTGGTCGTTGTGATGCACGCAAGGGGGATGATGCAGCATGATATATACTTTCCTCGGTGAAGAGTTGCTTCTCCCGGTTCAAGCTTGTCCGGTTGCGGAAGCCTGAGCCGCTGGTGTTGATTTCAGCAAACACCAGGATGCAGCCATGTATGTCCTAGACAACATCTCGAATCTCTCTCTCAGGGACCAAATGCGCATGCACTCCTCTTTCATCCGGGTGATGCTCCTTCCACGTCCAGGCCTCGTCTTTTTCGCGTCCGTTCGACACCCCGTGCAACACGTTGACCACGTAAGTGCCAATTGTCGGGAGAAACTTGTAGCAATGGAAAGATCCCCCTACTGCGAAATACAAGTTGGACAGTCGATCGTCTGGATGGCGGGTAATTAGGGGATGCTGGCTGGGCGAGATTGCATCCCAGCATATGCGCCAGTAGTCGGGACGGGGATGGTCCTCAAGAAACTGTGGCAGACGAGGTCGAATGGCGCGCAGATGATCTTCCTGCAATGCTTCAGGCACATGAATTTGATCTACCAGCGGCACCGAAATTTCATGTCCGGACGCCGTGCGGATGGTGTTCCTGAAAGAAGCGGCGGTAGTAAACTTGAGGATCCCCTCCGCAGTGGGAGGAATGACCTCGCCTGGATGTGTCAGCTTGTCCACGCCGGGCCAGGATATAACCCACCTTCCCCCCCGTAGACAAATACCGGCAGCTGCGAGTAGCGGGATTTTTCTTCCGACGAGAGTTGAAAATGCGAGACTGTTACTCCCGCTGCTGATATTTGCTGCTCTACTCGGTCTGGCCCCGGCAGGTCCAAGTCATCCTCCACCGAGGACATGAGCTGACTTGTCCATGCCCCTGTGGACAACAAGACCTTTCGAGCATGGTAGATGGAACCGTCTGCTGTTTTAACACCACTGACACCCTCTTCGTCACGAACGATTCTGCGTGCCTCCCCGACCTCATATCGGACACCCAGCTTGATCGCTTCTTGTGCCATCAGCTGCAATGCTTTTCCTGCGTCCGCCCAGCCAGCAGAAGAATTATAGTAATATGAGCCAAAAGGGGAGCAGTCTGTCTTCTCGAGTAGTCCACCCCATGCGTGACGGACTTTCTCTTCGGACCATTCCTCGATGACGTCGGCGCGACCATAATCGCGGAAGTTCTTCCTTATCAATGCGGGGACATCGCTATCTTTCTCCTCCAAGGCGATCCATCCCGAGGGGTGGTAGACTTGTGCTTCTCGGAAGAACGGCAGTGACTTCCACTGTTCAATAGTTTCGAACCCCAAAGCGACGTAGAGAGGGTTGGTGTAGTCGGCACGAATGATTTTGTTG